CAATAAATAATCTATCCACAAATCAATAGTCCACATAATAATAATGGATTTTACAATTTTATTTTATCACTTACACCCATCATTGAAAACAAATATGGGTTAGAAAATATTTTGTACATAACTTTCCATAAAATAAGAGTAGCCTCAAAAAAACAAGTTAGGGTTAAATCTAATTCTTGAATTCAAGTAATATTAAATTGAAATATTTTAATTAATCTATTTCTAAATGTTAGCTGCAACCCAATAAAACATAAATATAATTTTATGAAAACTGTTCAAGAATGTATAAAACTATCCCTACTATAGGATATTTATATAGTCTTAAATATATATTGTGATATTATGTAATAATAATAATAAAAATAAAATAAAAACAATTAATTAAATAATCAATTAACCATTAGTTATTACAATTATATTTGAATTTACTCTTTTTTAAAAAACAGTTAAAATATTCAGAATCCTTATGGCCCATTAACATATTCCTTTAAATACTCAAAGCCAATGGGGTGTTATTCATAAAAGAGGGTTGATTTCAAAACTGGATAAACTTGAATATATAATAGAGTGTGTTCACCTTTCAAAGATCAAAGGCTACAACTGGACAGTGGTCAACTGGTTATTTAATAATAAACCAGTTTATGTGGGTATACTGGATAATGTTTGAATAAGTATATATAATTCATAAGAAAATCAAACAGTTGTATAGGTTATAACTAGGGCTTGGGACTTATAGCATTTAAAATCATTAAAATAAACATTAAAAAAAAAATTAAATTCAAACAAAATTTTCAATAAAAAAAATGACCCAAAATAAGAAAAATCAGCAAAAATTTCTTATTTTTATTACATGAACATGATAAAGTAGTTGACATGTAAATTTCAGATAAATTAGTTATATTATATGTAGTCTATATTATAATTTTTTAATCAAAAAGTCAAGAAAACCTTTATATTATAAAAAAAGTCAAACTGACATTTTGCCTTATTTTTTATGAATTTTCCATGGCCAGTGCTTGTATGTCATGGTTTATAATTAAGCAGAAATATACAAAAAAGCAAAAATAATCAGAAAAAGAAAAAAATAGTTTTTTTTTTTAAAAAAATCATAGAAGAAAGGCACTTTCAAATTTTATAACTGAATGTTATAAAATGACATATACTTCCATTACACTTGGCTACATTTTATGTCAAACCATAAAGATAAGCAAATGCTATAAGTCTCGAGCCCTGGTTATAACTTAAATTAATACATAATAAGTTTTGTACAATGATAATATCACTAAATATTAAAATAAACAAAAACAATTAATTATATCTAGGTCTGAACAAACATTTACTCATAATTTTATAATAAAATATTAGGATTCAGAAATTATCAAATTATATATGTACAGTTGAGTTGATGTAGTTTAAATTGGAAGGGATAGAAGAACTAGTAACCAAACCTAGAGCAATCTACACAAATCAATTTCAAAATAAATTTGAAGCATTCGTAATCAAATTACATCTTTTTTTTTTTATTATTTTGGTTTACATGATAACAGTGTTGTCCATAAATAACCAAAATATTATCTAGATAAGATCACAGATAATACATTAAAATTTCATCTATATCTCTTTTCAAAAGAAAACATACCGATTTCGCGCATGTAGACAAACGGCTGTCAACCGTCCCGAGGCCAATTTCTCCCAATTTAATTGAAATGAGACATCGATCGCGCACGACGGTCGCCGATCAAAGTTTGCCGACGAGTAAACACCCAATTCCAATAACTTATTTACAATTAATAGATATCTGACCGGCGTTGCTTAGGTAGGAGCATTGGACAACTGGTGAGGGATGCGCACCACTAATCCAAAACCAGTCGCGCAAGTAGTATGTTCTCTTTTGAAAAGAAATATAGATAATAATAGATAAAAGATAACTACATTTATCTAGATAAAAAACAGATAAAACTAGATAAAAACATAATTTTAAACAGTTTCATCATTCAGAACTTTGTAAAATGGTTATTTTTCGATGAATAAAAAAATTAATTATTAATTATGATTTAATTAGTTTAAAATAATCTTAATTAATTTTGCTAATTTAGACAGAAAACAGTATCTAAACTTATTTTTATTTTTCATTACCCAAATTTTTTAAACATAAATACTTTAAGATATTATGAACTATTTTTATTTTTTTTTATTTTATATTATTAATCAGTTAACAGATCAAATTAATTTATTATAATTTAAATAATGTATAATTAAAAATTTACCTAGTGTTATGATTTTTGTTATTTAAACATACACCTAAAATGTCAGAATCATTTTCATGAATCCGTTTCTTCTCTCGAGAAATAAATTTATCCATGTTAAATTGAGAAATAAGGACAACTAGTTACCAATGTCGAACAGCTAAAAATAACTAATAACAATGGTGATCGATGGAACCTTAACGTAATAAAGTATGAATGTAAGATACTAAAAATAGTATTATTAATGTTATTAATACTGGTCTCTGACGGACAATTTTTAATTTTTAATGCATATCTGTATGTATGTATATTATATTTATGAAACTCATGCTTGATTAAATATATCATTTTAAAATATTCCATATAAATTGGTATATTTATTTTATTTAACCGTACATATTTACCAATAACTAATAAGTGATTACTGTTACCTTGTTGCTATTCTCAGTATTCACTAATATTGTATTTTACAAGTATTTTACCAGCCATGTGCTTTGAAAATGTGTGATACCAATATATCTTATGGTGATACTATCAAATTTTGCTTACATATTTTATCAGTTTTTTTATTAGATATGAAATATTTTCATAAGTTTCAATAAATAATAACTGATGAATATTAAATTATATAGCAGAAAGTATGTATTATATCATTATTAGGGATCGGAACTTAATGCACTTAAAAAGAACTAAATATGCATGCACTTATGCGCTTAAAAAAGTACAAATATGCTTAAAAAATATGCACTTAATTTTTTTTAACGCAAAAATTGTTCATAAATAAAGATAACTCGTACATAACAGTACAAGTGTTGTTAGTATATTATACTTAGCTCAACATAATTTCTAGGTATAAATATATAAGATAAAATAAAATTTTCTTTCAAAATGTTCTCATTAGGTTTTTCATAGTTTCATGAAAATAATTTCAAGGTTACTTAGCAATAAATTGAAGAGCCCAATAAAATCATGCAAATGCAACACCTACCGAGTCTTTTGTTATTATGAAATACTGTTATCATAGAATATTAAATTAATACTATTAAAATCGGAAATCACACGTTCAATAGTTGGATAAAATCAAACTTCACGGTATCTAATGGTTAGTGAGGTAACTTGTGTTTTATTATAAGGTATACCTTAATGTAACAATATGGTTCAACCAATCAGAGATAATTATTTTAGAAGACACGACACGGCACGGTGTAGTATGAACCTTTGAAATCTATATAGCCGTGACCACTAATCAATGGTCACTGGTTGACTTTATTATTATTTATTACTTTAATCTAAGTTTATACATTGTTATTTATGGAACGTTCCAAACCAAAGATTGACGTTTTACATCCATGTATTTCCACAATTATTGTCTATATTATTATTATATGAGTATAATATTAGCTATTAGGTATACGTATATTAAATTCCGGGCGTAAGCATTGGGCAGCGTATCGCCTAATATCGCTGTGTATCGCCCAGTCGTCGATTATATAGAAAAAAAAAGTTAATCGTTATAAAATCGAATGGTATTATTTGAAATTGGTATTATTATTTAGATAAGATAAAAAGATTAATGTTTTTATCTAGATAATGCACAACACTGCATGATAATAATTATATATGAAATCAATCATTTCTACCAATGAAATATACATGTTTCTAATAAGAACTGTTTTTAAAACTATATTTAATAATAAATAAAACTTACAAAAAAATGCAGACCTCTCTAAAAATTGATGAAATAAATTATAAATTTTATATTATTTAAATTCTAAAAAAAAATTACCTTTTATTATTTTATATTAATAAATTCTTAAGTGTATAATAGTGGTTAAAAGGTATTTTATGAACACATATTTTAATGATTTTAAAAACTTAATAATTAAGGTAATTACTTAGAATAAAAAGGAAAACAAACTGATATTTTTATCAGTTTTTATTTTTAACTACATTAAAACCATACCTATATATTTTACGTTAAAATTGTTATCAAACATTAATTTCATCTCCATCTTGATATAAGACAATTCAGACCAACATAAAAATCATGTAATGGTCAATATTTACTCATAAGTAGGACCCGGATTTAAATGCACTTAGTGGCATAAGTCATACAAATATGCTCTAAAAAATAGCCAAAAATGTCCTTAAAAAATGCATTTTACCATAAAAATGACATAATTTTTTTTACTTCGGGCATTATTCAACACACTATTTAATACATTAAAATCACATTCATACGTAATATGAGCAACTTCTGCGAGGTAATACGAACTAGCTGATTATTTGTTATTTGACCGAATACTGATGACGTTCCATAGTCAATAATAAATTAAGATAAGATAAAAACTGAATCGAAAACATTTTTTATTTAATAAAGATTGACAGTTTGTTTGGAAAAACTCAATAAACCTATTTAAATATTAAGAAAATAATTTGTCTCCTGATTTTATTTTGAATAGGCTAAATTTGTTTAGTATATCGAACAAATATGTATTAAAAATCAACAAAATGACCCAATAATATTAAAAATGAAAATAAGTCGAAATATGCAAAAAAATGCAAAATAAAATTAGTAGTTTTGAAACCCTCATTACATGAAACAAATTATGTTCTTAAAGAGCATTGTGTATGATCAACCAAAAAAATAAGCACTTTGCATTGAAATCCGGGCCCTACTCATAAGTTATTGAATTTTTATAAGTGAAATTTTATAGATAATACAAAAATATAATAAATAACATAATAACATACCTAAATCTGTTTTGGAGTTCAATTGATTGGAACTTAACATAGAACGTTTCGTATTATCAACAGTTTGTTGTTGTTTTATGTTTTTTCGAAGAATTTTATTTGTCTGATTAACCTAAAAAAAAATATACACATATATATAAGCAAAAACATTTTAAAAATCAATCACTTAACAAGTAAAACATAATTATTATGTCAATGTTTGAAGTATCTTAGACATTACTTTTAAATACCTATTATTTGTAAATTATAATAATTAATCAAAATAAACAATTCCATATTATTTACATGCAAATAACTAAATTGATATTTATTATTGATTTGAGTAAGTATACCTGTGCTTTATCTACTGTCATATTTTGTGGTACTCTTTGACTGTAGCTGTCTTCTTGTTTGACCATTTTAACTGCATTTATATTTTGAACACTTTGTTTATCTAATGGCATACCAAATCGTTCATATTCAATAGCTTGTATATGTATAGTTTCATAACACTCAACACAAACAACTGCAAATTCTCCATTTTCTAATAATAATGCTTGGTCAATTTGACGATGGTAGCGTAAAAAAGGATAGTCCTAAATTGTTTTATTGAATTAGTTATTTTATTACTTATTATTTAAGTTGAATTGTTATGACTAAATTTATACTTATACAACTTACATTCACTGCAAGGGATCGAATATGTCGACGCCCAGTTCTTTGAGTACAAACATAACATACATATTCTTTATGATTATAAATTCTTTCATGTTGAGGAATAGAAATGGAACTTGATTCATAATCTCGCCATTGAGCAACATAAGCATGATAACAAAATGTGCATACTAATGCAGATCCATCTTCACGTAATTGCTCTGTACCTGGTGTGGTTTCATGTCTAAGAAGATATGGAAAATATGGTGCATTTCGACCCTAAACATATATTATGTAAATATTTTTTTCTTTTTTATATTAAAATGTAAAAAAAATATTACTTGTGGACGGCTATATAACACTCTCGCATAAGTAAGGTCAGAATGATGGTTGCATAAGAAACAATATATGGACGAAATATCATTTCGACTAGAAATTTGTTGTGAATTATAACCGTTAACATTCAAACCAGGAACGTCATACCTAAAATAATTTTAAATAAGAATACATGTGAACAGGAACAATTTTAATGTATTAATCATACCTCCTATGTTCTAACGGGACCCTGTTGGCTTCCATGGAATTCCATTGAACAGATAATTGTTGAACACATTTAGAACAAGCAAGAACTCTGCCTTGGGATTCAACACAATAATTTTCTGCTGATCTAAATTATAAAGCAAAATTTAATGAATGATATAAAAAAAAAAAAAAAAAAACCATTAATTTTATTCAACTAATTTTTTTAAAATTAAATAATAAAATAATACATAATTATTTTATTTTATTTTATTAAACACGGGTGTGGCCCTGAGTACAGTAAGAAAGTTAAATCTTCATACAAATACAAATCAGCAGAAGTGGGACTGAATTAGGTGCTTAAATTAACATGAAAACGATGAGTGGACATTAGCAAGGCACATAATATGGTGAATTGGATTGTTTGAATTATAATTAGTGGTGTACATTAGAATAGCAAAAGTGGTGGTAGAGCGGTTACGGCATAGAGGGGCGCGAGATTTTTTATAATTATAAAAAATATATTAATGTTATAAAGATAAAATAGCTATACAATCTATATTACATTTTAAAATACAATCTTTGACACATAATATGATGGATAATAATAAAATGAATATAATTAACTAAAGTACAATATAATATATAAAAGGGTGGTCCTTAATTTTTAACCATAAAAATGTCATATTAGAACCCCTTCCCACTTTATTTTATACTATATAAGATTAATTTAGGTAGAATTTGGTGATGATGACTCACCCCTTCCCGTGTCTCAAGAGGGTTGACAAATTACTGATAAGAGTGCATTTCTGGTTTTTTGAGTTTTACTTTAAAATTATAATTTAAATTTTAATTATAAGATTAAAAATATAAGATATATAGATTAAAGTTGATTCATCAAAATACATTTTATTTAAATCAGTTATTATCATAATGCTTAATGAATAGTTATAATAAATTAAAAAAAATGTAATTTATTAAAATAAAATATTACCTTGATAATTGCTTAAGACATGGAAAATGCATTGCATGTGAATTCATGCCTTCTGCATTTGTACATAACCATTCTAATTGAGAACGATGTTGCATTTCATAACAAACAAAACAGCGAAAATTATTCCCACTCATGATGCGTACAGGTCCTCCATTACCAGATACATCAGTACTAGTCTAAACATTAAACATTTTTGAATTATCATAAAATTGTAATCAGATAATTATAAACATTTTAAATACTAACTGCAAGAGTACTACGATGTGCTTCTGATGGAGTTGGTGTTTGGGATTTATTTGGTTTAGTTATATCATATGGTCGAAATCGAATATCTGGTGATTTAATTGATTGCAAAGATGGAGAAGGTGATGGAACAACTGGTAAATCCATTAACATAGTAACTTGATGTTTTTGAGGTACAGATTTAAAACATACAGCACAAACCTAAATATTAATTATTTCAGTAGTAAATTTAATAAAATATTAAATTTAATACCACAGGTACATACTTGAACAGTGCCTTGAGAAGATATAGGAAGAGCACCAGGGGGAGTTTTAATTTTTATTAATGATGGATAATATGGTTCACGAATATTATTTGGGTAACAATATAATGTCCTGCAATTTAAAATAGATAATATAATTAGAACAAACATTTATAATAAATTATTAATCAACATTTTTAAACGCATTGAACTTTACTGAACATATATATATATACATAAAATATTTAACTTACCTCATAGACGATGAAGGGTATTCGAGAGAACAAGTAAAACAAATAAATGTAGAAGTATCTATAGATGGAATTAACCGTTTACGCAAAATGTAATTCCTTTCTCCGTGTGGAATGCCTTTTGATGTATACACCTATAAAGTTAATTAATAAAATTTATATAAAAAAAAAAAAATAATTTATATAAACCACCTTATTTTCCTACCTGCCATTGATTTAATAAGTGAGCATGACAAGCCGAACACGTTTGTACACGCCCTGTACTATCCATTGGCCTAGAACGAGGGGGTCTAGGGTGAAGCATAAGGCTAGGAAAAAATGGTTGGTCAGGTTGGGTAACTGCAGCTGGTGGTTTGGCTGACACATGAGATAAAGAACCTCTTCGGAATTCTTCTCCACAGACATAACAAACTTCAGTAGAAGAATTTTTGTCTGGCATAGATAAATCTAAAATATCTGTACCACTACTACTACTGTAACTTCCTGTAAAAAAAGTTAAAATGTTAAAGAAAAATATAAATTTAAAATATGTTATTCAAAATAAAATAAGGGTAGATGCAGGAATGAAATAAATCAACAATAGATTTAAGGTTTTAGTATTATTAGAAATAAATGAAAAAAGAAGTTAATTAATTAAATAATGATTATAATTAAAAATTTTAACTTATAATTTTATTAATAGTAAAATATTTTAATTAAGGCATGGGGACAAACTATCAACAGTCATGGGGAAAGCAGTAGTTGGTTTTACTTGGGACTTAATTAAGTTTAAAGCTTTCTTTCTTATCTCATAGTTCACTTTCTCTTGAATTTCTTAATAGAATCAGGTTTTCCTATTTAATTTTTTTTTTTTGTGTATTTTTTTTATTTTTATTTTTATTTTTTTATTAGTTTTATAAGTTATATAAGTGGTGATGTTAAGTGTTAAGCTATAATGCCAAATGGCAATAATAGTTATAATAAATAAAAAATTAATATTAATCTAACTCGTTATTAAAGAAATTAATATATGTTTCAGGTTCACAATCATTATTAATAATACACATAAGTAATGATATAGGTAAAATATTTTTTTTTTTTGGTTTTTATAAAATAGATAAATTTCATTTTTGTGATAAATATTAGTAATATAAATAAAGGTATAATAAAAATACATTAATTTCATTTTAATACACATTATATATTTTTAATTAAACAATAAAATGAAATGCATGTACAAGTTTTTCAACAATTTTTGTGATCTGAAGCAGAAATTTTTTCCTAGGGTCTATTAATAAAGCGTATAAACCTAGAAAACTTATAACCTAACCTTTTATGCTATAGCAATATTAGTATATTATTAATATCATTCATACTATTATTATAAAATTATATTTTTATTTATAGAAAACAATTTGATAGCATCGCTTTAAAATAACATTCTTTGTTAAATCTTTTATAATTCTAAAATAAATACATGTAACCTCACTTGTTAATTATACTAAAAGGCTCAGCATATATACTTTGAATAAATAAAATGAAGTTAAGCAAAACAATTTTCTAATTGGATTAATTTAATTTTACTGAAAAATTGAATTTATTGGAATAAATAATTAAAAAACTTTGTTTCTAAATTTGAAGTCAAAAGTAGAAAAAAGATTATTTGAGTACAGGGGAACAGGCTTAAAGTTTGTGATACAAAACTGTGGGCATAAATATTACTTGAAAACTAAAAAAAACTTACCAGGATTAGAATGAGGTGTACTCGTATTAATTGGATTTGAACCATTTTGTTGTGCTATGTGATCAGATGATGTAGAGACTGATGTAAGAGGTATTCTAGCACCTCGGCTATCTTCTCCAGTAATTTGAGACATTGCAGATGACATGATAGTGTCTTTATGACTAAGTTAAGACATATGATATAAACATAAAAATATTAAATTAAAAAACAATTGGAATACGTTATTATTGATTGTTTGAAAATATTAATAGTAACCTATTAGTATAATCAACACTGAGTCCCAATAATTGACACGCATATTCTCCTTGAGTAGAAAGATCAGCACCAGTAAATGGACCATTATCACAGCGTTTTAACCAGTAGACCCGTTGTCTTGCGGGAACATTCTCTCTTTCATATCGATCCCATTGACCAATTAATAGTGAATAACACAAATAACAACTTGTTACCTAAAAAATAAATATGATCAAAATTTTAAATTATTTATATTATAAATCAATTAATTAAAATATAAAATTAATTTTAATTTAACAATCAAATTACTTGATTAAAGTATATTTTACTTTGATTACATCTGATCCATTTTTTTTTTTTTTTTTTTAATTCAATTTAAAGACATGATTGAAAAATTAACTTAATTAATTTAATTTCTTCAATAAAAATATTGAATAAAATCAAATATAAAAATTAATGTCAAATAATTCAGCATTTCTAAGGTGATAAAAAATTTAAATTGCATTTCATTTTTTACTGATAGTTTATAATTACAGAGAATACTAGAACAGTTAAATATTTTAAAAACCTAATACACCTAAGTTAAAATTAATTCATTTTGTACTTAAATAATTGTAATGATTTTTTTTCATATTATTCAAAAATCAAAAAAAAAAAAAATATACTATCATTCCAAAATATTGTACAATAATATCATAAATATAAAGCTCTATATAAACATTTTTATCTAATATAGCACAAACTAAAAATTTGTTGCTTTTTAAGTAGATTATTTTTATTTCTTACCAAAAAAATTGCTTTATATCTTTACATACGAACAAAGAACAAATAGCAAATAAAATAATATTTCTAAGTTAGTTATGAAATAAATTATTATATTAACGCTTCAATAAGTAATTTATAGTTTTAGTTTATAATATTCTTAACAATCATGATTTAAAATATGAAGCTGTTATTGTTGTAATCTAGTTTTAATTAACAAATAATTTGAATTTTCAACAGATTTAGTTAATTTTTAAGAGAACTAGAAATTATATTTATCAGCTTATAGTTTGTTGTTCACAGGACTAAACAATTTAATATTGTACTGAGTGAGATGTGATTACATATTAAAATTACTTTAATATTGCAGAAACTAACAAATTAATGATAATTACTTATATATAAATTTAACTATCCTACATTCTTTAAAATTGAGGTACAAAAATTATTATTAATCTATTTAAATGAATATTGTGTAAGGGGACAATTAAATTGTGTTTATATTGGATGTTTAAAAATATTCACTTAATAGGTCAAATTGTACTTTATGTTTTATGTTGATTATTTTTTTAAATAGGTATTCATCATTAAAACTGTACAGATTTCATAATTATACTGACATTGAAATGAGTTTCTTATGTTATTATTTATAAATAATTTTCCATATTATAATGAACATAAAAAATTTTCATTTGATAAGATTTATATAACTATATTCATATTTTATATGAAAAATTTATGACCAAAAGTTATTGATTTTGTTTATAAATTAACTTTCAAAATGGTATATGATTTGATTTTAATTAAATAAGTTTTTTCACGAGTATACAGTCAGTATTAAATAAATAAAAATAAAAAATGACTTACCGCACTATCCTGCTTTGCATTTAATGGTTGTCTATAACCTTGTGGTGGTTCATGCATTTCCAAAAATGGAAAGTGTGGTGAGCCATCAGATGGTCCGGTAGAAGGCGGTCGTACTCGTAACCAATATTGTTCAGGATGTCCAGAGTTTCCACAAACAAAACATACATTATGTACAACATTAGACGTCTCTTGTTTCAGATACATGCCATCATCAGTACGAGTTTCTTGTGCCATCACACTACTATACACAACACGAAACAAATACAGTTTCATTAGAATACATTTTATAAATTTCAATAAAATTGTAACCCTAGAATTTACCCAATGTATTTTAAACCAGAAATTTGGAATGGAATCAAAAGAAAATAGTTATTGACAGATGTTACCAGCTGATGTGTGGCACATACATTTTCTCGCTGGCACACACACAGCTGTGGGATTACATATAAGGAGAAAAAAATAGGGCGTACACTATAGGACACAGTACATACGTTGAATCGACCTTAAAGCGGTATTGTTTGATTAAAAAGACATCAAGAAACCATATTACACATTGAACAGGAAGATAATTTACGAAAACGGCAAGTACTTACGTGTGAAAGTGTGATGCACAGAATTTAAAGGGACTTCTTTCGTAATCCGGTTATCATTTTTGATCGTCGACTGCGGTTATCACAACGAAGGGATATTTATCGTGTTCGGTGTTCAAATTCATCGTTTGGGAGGACTTATAAATGCCATAGGAGGGGTAGACGATATCGGTCAGACCATTGTGTTGCTGCCTTTAGGAAAATGACAACTCGCTTTTACTTTACTAAGTATATTTTAAATACAAGACTTTAGTTGAGAAAAAAAAATACAAACTTCTTTCTTCCATGAGCCTATCACTTTTTTCCCATTGTCTATTGGTTAACATACGGTATCTTGTTCCAACTGTTAATGTCCAGAAAAAAACCACACGCACTATATACACACATAAACTAGCCTGCGCACGCGTCTCTCGCGGGGAACACTAATGTTTCACAAAAGTACGCATAATAATTACAAAAAAATCTACCGAACACAATAGTTTTTATCAATAAATATTGCTGTTTGTTCATGGCTGTTTCACAAATATAATAAATAATGGTTCCCGTTGTCCCGCGTAAAGGTATAAGGATTAAAAATGTTATCGACGCCGTATTATTGCTTGATGGCTTTACGTGTGGTATCATTTTGGTCAAACAAATTTCATTTAACGAATAGCAGTTCTTATAATTTATTATTCATATGTGTGTAGTGTATACCTGTAAATAGTACATTTGTTTAAAAAATCCAATCAATAAATTCAATAGTGTGAATGTATAGGTACATAGAACATCTAATTTACCAATACAACAACCGATTAAACTTCCGGATAGGCACTAAAATAATTTCAACTTTTTGAAAGAAAAGATCTATTGTAATTTATTGAATTTTTTTTTTTTATTTCAAATAACATATGTTATACCCAGTGGTGGATCTACACACGGAGCAACCTGGGGCAGCTGCCCCAGGGCGCATAATGAATTTATGCGTGTACTTTATTTTCAAACAAAATTTAAGTGTAGACTAATCTGTAGTTGATGTAAATAAAGTGTAAGGTTTAACGTTGGCTGTGATAGACGGTAACAAAATAATTGATAAAATAATCAAAATAATATAATATGTATACATGTGTAGGTAAGGTCCACTGAGATAGATAAGAATATACTATCTATAATCTATCAATATGTGTATATATAAATTTATAAATGTTATATATATAGTATTATGTATAATGTTTCTATTGTTTATTATTAGTTAATGACAGTTGTATTTTGAAAACCTTTTTAAGAAAAACTATCCTTATAGGTCACAATTGCAGTCAAAAGTTTGACGATCTGTCCAGCTAAAGTTAAAATATTTTATTTTGTACATACTAGTTGAGTAGTGTGGGGGGGGGGGCCAAAAAAGAACTGCTCCATGGCGAAAAAATGTGTAATCCGCCACTGATTATATCTAATATAATTTCTAAATTAAATACTACATTCAACTGACGACTATCAAAGAGATAAATTACGATTAGTGACGATTAAGACTTAATCGTTTTATTTACTTAGTAATAAAACGATAAAGTTATTACATTAATAATTCTATAGTTGTCGAAAATAATATGCTAAATTTCTATACGATTGTATAGTAAATTATTAACAAAAAGATCATAAGAATACAAATAAAATAAATTTGTTGAATATACTTTGAATTGACGAACGTTGAACGGATGATACTTCGAATTGTCACGTTTTAGATGCAAGTTTTCCCAAAATTTAATTTCGAATTACTGAGTGTACTTAAATGCATTGTTTTTATTCGAATTACCACGTGATTTTCAAGAGACCAAGCATTTACTTTGAATTACCGAAGGTTTCGAATTATCGAAGGTTTGAATTATCGAGAGTCGACTGTACTTTACTTATTTTACTTCACTATTCTATACGAAAAACATATTAATTCAAGTTTTATTTTTGAATAAAATGTTTGATTTTAAACCTAAAATAAATATGTTTTAATCACTTTTACCTTTTTTTTGAACTGCTAACTAGTTATTATTGGAAACAATGTAATTATGCTTACTAGTTTTTTTAAAAGAAATATTAGCTGCCAAATATTTTCTCTTACGAGTTGGATTTCATAACATGGAACCAAAAATTAATAGCTGAGAAAAAAACTCATAGCAAGCAAAGAAAAATAAAAAAATTTCTTACGACAAAAAGCAGAATGATAAACTATAAACATAGGTGATAACGTATTTATGAAAAATTAGCAATTAAAAGGCAAGTTAGACCCTAAGTGGGTTGGCTTTTATGAAGTAATAGGACAACATAAAAATGAAAATATCACTATTTTGAAGGGAAGAAAAGAAGTAAAATTACATAAAAATGAAACAAAATTAGCTACCAAACTTCTATTATTAAATTCTTCTATATCATTTTTTTTCTTTTCTCTCTACTTTCTCATTACAATAAATTTATTTCTAGAGTACTATCAAGAAGATAGAGGCGAGCTATTTTAACGTGACTCCTACTCCCAATCCGTCTAGTATATAATTTAAATCTATGGGAAACATACGATTATCAAATTCAAATTGACGTTTACTTACATGTATTAACATCTCAAACAACAATAAAAAGTATTCTCTAATCAGCGAAAATATAAAACAGTTCAAGGCATCATGCGATCTAGGAAAATATCTAAATGCCGAGAATATCGAAACTCTTTGCATACAATATAATTATCAAGCATCTAGTGAAATTAATACTAATAAGGACCATGTACGAAATATTATCGAGCATCCAGATTCCGATACTGTAAGATTTAGAAGGGATCTCATTAATGTAGTAGGGCGAGCAGCCAGATAAATAAGCTCACGGGCCGGATTCAGCCCGCGAGCCGCCAGTTGCCCACCCCTGATATATAGGTATCATTGTCAATATCAGTTCTGTGAGTGTGTATGTCCGATGCATAAAGAGATAACGGTTATTTCTTGGATTTTGGAAGAAAAGCTTTACATTTGAAACGCCTATCAAATACATCACTAGTGTCTTATATTTCTTTATATCATAATTCTGGTCTGTTCCATTTACACGTTACATGAATAAAATGTATTCGCCTTTTTGAAATTTGAAAGTTAAAATCATACAAAAGTTACTAATAAATTTATAATGTCCTCGTTATTGAATATTTATTATATTTTACTTACCCACCTGATACGTTACACAACATTACAGTCTACAAGTATAATAAGGTTTTTATTATTCCAACAAACCACAGAAATAATAAAAATTATACGAGCTCGGCGAATGTGCTCAGTCTGTGAGCAATAACTCTAAGACATAACTTTTATATTAAAATATATTGACCATTAACCTAGTTTTTCCACGATAAAAATGTCATCATGTCATTATCGGCATTTTTTCCTGCATTAAATTTAGTTGTTCAAAAATTAAATTCTTTCCCTGTGTATACAAGGAAAACAATACACATACATTCATTATTTACCATAGCCTTATTAATAACTAATAATGAAATAACTAGGGAAATTAATATTTTATATTAACGTAATTTCTCAGCAGGTGGACTTTTGAGATGGGCTGAGCTAGAGAGCTCTCTAGGCTGAGCCCACTCAATGTACCTGATCAGTATTCGTCATCTGTGGTAATAATTGCCCGCGAGCCTACGTGTACACATATGTCGTATCGACTGATGGTGAACATTAAATGTATGCTAGCTGTGAACGTGAGATATAATTCATTTGCGAGTATCCATTCATTGGTAAATGTTGTTATACCATACTTGGCTTAAACCTACCTTAACGAAAATATATGTAAGATAAACCTGGACATGGAAATGTAGCGAATACATTGAATCGTTTGTGTTTTGAGTGTATGTTGTAGTTATCTATACAATAATTAGATATTTTGATGTCTGCATTGTAAAATATATTGTAGTTAAGCGTAAATTATTATGTAATGTACGTGTAGGTACACCAAATTTGTATAATTTACAATATATACGAGTATGCTGTACCATCATAATATAATGTATTATATTCTTTCTATGAATACAGTGTATACAGAAGTTAGGTTATATATACAAGTCTAAATAACAATCTGGAAAATAATTATTTGCCTATATAAGTAATATAAAAAACTATAGTAAAAAAATATATGAACCTATTCATTTAAAAACGATATAATATAATATATGATATATATATATATATATCATATATATATATATATGATCAGGCAGATAAAATCCGATGAATAAAAATAATGTAAATATTTTATTATTGTAATAAAATATTAATATTAATATCACTATGATGAAAATGTGCCATGTACGTCTTTTAGTTCACAATATATTATTATGTATAAACATTGATTAAATATACATTTAATATATATATATATATTTAATCAATGGTATAAATGTATTATACTTTTTTACTTTTGAGTCATTCTCCACATTAATTAATTATACGATGTTTAAAATAACTATAGTATGAGGCTACATAAATACAATAAATAAATAAATAAATTTACAAAATAAAAATGAGTTTAAAACCAAAAGTACAAAATAATTGACAACGGTCGTTGGAATATAAATTCGTTTTATTCATAGTTTGTTTATTATGAATAAGTATAGAATATTATCTATATGACTCTACCTAACGGCTGATTCACGGAATACGTTTTTATCAATGAACCGCTAGATAGGGCTAAGATTTAAGAATGTAAAGAAATTATTAATTTCTCCACCACAGAAAATAATGGAGATTCATCAATGGGTTAGTTGAATATTTATTACGAATGAATCATATCTTACAATTACAGAGTATCGAAAAAACTATTTTAAATATTAGTTGTTATGATAAATATAAAATGGAGTTAGCCGTGTTATGATAGAAAATATTATTAGTAATAACAATTAATCTTTTTTTATGTATTCGCTCAAATATGTAATAAAATAACATTTGTGTATTATTTCATTGTATATTGTTTACTATTTCATAAAATGTGAATAAAAAATTAGAAAAATTTGATATATTGTAACAAAGATCCTCATTAATTCTTCTTACTTGTATAAGAAAATATTAAAAATCCTTAGCAATAATTTTTTTTTTTTATATGCGATGTAATTTTAAATGTTGACAAAGCTCGACTAAAATCATGAAAATCTGCATCGCTGTGGTAAAAAAAATTATAAGATATTCAATTTTGTTACTTGATAGAAAATGAAATAAAAAATTCACAAGTAGTTCACTACTATAAAAAAAAAAAAGTCTCAATATGTGCTTTCTAAGCGTTCGAAAATTAAATTTGAATGAAATCAGATACTTCGTTGAGTTTTGATTGTACGATATTAGTTATTTTGTTGTTATTTAACAAGTATTAAAGCAGAGATCTGAAACATAAACTAGATTCTTATAAGAACATAATATAAATATTATAATTTCTAATAACAATTTAAACTGTTACTATGAAATTAGTATCAATAAATCATAGTTTAAAGTAGTGGTGCCCAACCCATGGCCCGCGGGCCACATATGGCCCGCGAAGGTATTCTATGTGGTCCGTTACGAATTTTCTAAAATAAAAAAAAATTTTAAAAATGTATAAAAACATTTTTAAATTATTTATTTTCATATATTATTTTTATATAAATTTATGAATTCGTTTAAATAATTATTCCAAAAAATACAATTACAATGATAATAATAAAACTAAAAACTATATAAAAATATTATACTCATATTTTTAATGTGAAATTTGAGCTTATTCTCCTTTTACTAATAATGAAAAATCTGGTTGAAATTTAGTGGTTCTAATCCTCAAAATTGAATAAAGGTGTTTATCAGTAAGTCGCGATCTATGAACCGATTTTGTTTGTTTCATTAGTGAAAATATTTGTTCGTATATATACGTTCAGCCAAATACATTATAAAGTCTCTTAAAGTAGGGAAATCTTCATGTGGAAGTTTTGAATAAAATTTTAAAATATCGTTTTGTTTCATTTTTTGAAATTCATCACAGTAAAATGAATTTGTTTATAACTCAATAACTTTAAGTTGAAAAAAAGTGTCGACATAATTTTCACCAATATTAAATGGATTTTCAAATAAACGCCACGATTTTTCATGTAATTTAACATCAGAAAATCGAGATGAAAAATCGGTTTCCGATTTCTTTAATATTTCTACAAGTCGATTTGTTGAACATAACGGTTTTGTTTCATTTTTAAACATTTGGCAGTTTTCAAAATGGCTAAAGTCACTGTGCTCAATTTGATCAATAAATAATTTTAATATTGCATCAAATGCTTTAACAGTATTATACATATCAAATATAAGTTTTTCAGGTCCTTATAATTTTAAATTTTAAATATTTAAATGTAGGTACATAAAATAACGTACTGATTAAACTAATGTGTACCTACGATGTATACCTCAATTCATAATCTTTTCAATGGACAATAAAAGATAAGAAAACAAGTCCAATATATAAGATTATTTTTGTACTTTTATACTTTGTGGCCCGTTTGAAGATAATTGTTTACCAAAGTGGCCCGCCAAAGGAAAAAGGTTGGGCATCACTGATCTAAAGGTTATATACTTATATTTTTGTTGTTGTTAAAGTTGATTTAACCAATTTGCGTAAGTAAGAGACGATTTGGAGGTTCAAATCCCCCCCCCCCCCAATTACAAAAATCCCAGATAGTAAATGAATAAGTAGTAATAAAAATTATTATTACCTAAATAAATCAACCCTTCCTCATAAATAATTTTTACCTACGCCCTTAGTTTACCCAACAAGATTACGAAATTTTATGGTGCTTGCATTTATCTGTAGAAATATAAACTATCTTAAGTTATAGAGACTAACTGTTTTACTTTACTCAGAATTTTTTTTTTTTTTTGAAAGCAATACGGTACATTGATCTTAAATATATAAGTATACGAATTAATTCATCTATGCCAGCAACCCGTCACATGTATCCTTCATACATATACACAGTGACGGTGCTAGAGTTTACGAGGCCCTGGGAAAAATAAATGTTGGGTTTTATAATTTATATTAATAAAATATTTAAAGTTTAGTTAAATCAGAACCGCGGAGCCTTAATTATAAATTAAAGCACGGGGCCCTGGGCAACTGCTCCTATTACCCACCCCTTCAAGCCATCCCTGCATATACATATATTTTTAAGATATAAAACAATATATAATTCATTCCCTTCGAAGTGATTCGTCTAGTCTTGAATTTTTAAATCACAATGTTATTTAAATCGTATTTACAAACTAAAGTGTATAATTCTATAGAGAAATAAACACTTACTAAAACAAAATATGAGAATAATTATTTAGGATTTTCACCTTACTTCATTCGTAACATGAAGTGTGTATCTCCTATTTTTATTATTTTGATATAAAAAATTGTACTAATCTGACCTTGAGCTATACGTTAGAAAAAAAATTAAAACCAACTTTTGGCATCAACCAAGGGCATTTATAAAATTATATTTAAAGGGGAGCACGCTTCAGTTTTTAAATTATATTGTTATACATTTTAAATATAATTACATTTTTTTACTCGAAACTATGACATAGGAATAGACTGTATGTGATTCTAAACATTTTCATTATTATAAAGTAGTAACTTTCTTCATTTTTTGTGATATGAAGTTAGTTTAAAAATAAGTACTTTACACTTTACGCGGTTTAGGTCCATTGAATTTAATATACTTTTAAAGATAATTTTAATACTGTACGTTTCTTATTCTTATTGAACTGTTATGCAATACTAAATACAACCATACCTCTTTAATTTAGTAAAGTTATTTATCAATAGTTCCCTATTCATTTTTTCATTATAGTATAAATGTATTCATATACGCTTTTTAACATTTATTCGTAATTTTTTTGTCTAATATAGGTATAGTTTATATATTATATGTTATAAGAGTATAATAGGTATCAAGCGTATCATAAGCGTGTGCAGACCTGTATTTCAGGGGGTACCTACAATACTTTTGGTAATCTTAACATAATAATCTTAACAAAACGTTATGGTATATTTAATAAATTATAATGTATAAATAATTAAACAAATATAACTTTATTTTTTATTTAATATTACGGTATATTAGAGCCAACCAATATGTTTTTTATTTTTAGTCAATTGTAGCGGTTAAATTATCATAATAAGTTTTTGCACGAAATTTAGAACATTTTGTTTTATTTATTTTATTACGAAGTATCATTTAGTTTTTACCAAATATTTTAGAATAAATTACATTTAATTTAAATAATATCTTACTGAGTAACATCGGTAAAATAAGAAGCCTCTTACACTTAAACTTAAATTGTTTATTTACAATCATAGGCGCAACTAGAGCCCAAATATTGAGGATGCTGAAATTATGTAGCTCATATTAACCTGTGGTCACACCTCCCAATTACTATATCTCAATTTAATCATTAAATGTACCATAATAACACGCATACACTAATATTTTAATTTATAAATATTAACAAGCATAAATTGTAACATACCAACTTTTTTGTTGAATTATATTATTATATATAGGTCATACAGTACTAAAAAATACACAAAAAATATTATACAATATACAACATATAATATTTACACTAGTATTATCTTGCAATGACTAGTGGAATATTTTTCAAGTATTTCTGACGATGTAATTAACTAATTGTCATGAACAATTCATCTTTCTGATAAAAGCATCAAATAAAAATAACTACATAAAATAAGAAAAACACTAATTTTTCACAAAATTTTTCAATTATTAATTTTTTAACTGGGGGTGATATAACACACCCAAGTACCTTCATAGTTGTGCCTATGTTTACAATATTTCTAGGGGTGCTCGAGCATACCCGGCACCACATCCCCGTGCGCACGCCTATAGTATAGACCAATTTAATGTATACCGTAAGTCTGAATATTTCCAAGTTGAAATGGATTATTACTTTTTTTTGATACATATAATAACTGATCTATTATATTAGTTACCAAAAGAACTTTCGCTTATATCTATAATTAGATCATTGACAATTTATATTTAATATAATAAATGGCTTAATTTTGTTTTTACAATTATAAAATGAAATGGTTCTCTGTCTACAAATTACTTCTACGTGATTAATATACGTAATCAAAACAGCAAGTCTTAGTTAAATTTATGTTAGTTACGTGCAAATTCAATGAGTTTAATTCAATTATAGAAAGCTAATCGATACATAATCATGAAACCCCATAAAAACCAAGTATTCTTTGCTTTTTTAACATCCCTTTACTCTGTCTCACTACTACACGTACGTTAGTAAGTTTCGTTTGGACTGGAGCCTAAGATAAAATGCATCCAGGTAAAGTTATTTTATACTTAGGAATACTAGTAATAAATACAAGAAAATATTTATGTTCTTAATTTAAATAAGTTTAATTTTATTAGAAGATATTGTTTTATTGTTCGTCTAAATTTTAATTATAAAATCTTGCGGTTCTATTAAATATAACTATTTTATACCAAAATTACGTTTTAGTAAATTATATTTGAATATTTATTGTTTAAATCAACTGTTATAATAAGATTTACGAAAAAGAAACTTAATAGTAAAAAGTGTGAAATTTTAATCAAAATTTGACTAAAATGTGTAACATAACGTATGCTAGTAGTAAAAAATAAAAATAATTATTTCATTAGGTCAGTGTTTAAAAAATATACATTAAGCCCAATCATTTCTTATTGATGTTTCGTATCTATAGATTTGTTATAATTGCCATTGTGATTAATAACAGTTATTTTCAATACTGTTGATGTTGTATCTACCCCTTAATAGAGTTCGAGTGTAAAAATCAAGCATTTATAATAAATTCAATGTTTTAACAATAAATTGTAGTTGAATCAACAACAATTTAGCTCTGAGCGAAAAACGACGTGCAAATGTATATTACATTAACACGTTGGTGTGTTAAAACGACTCCATTTTTCTATGTGTGTATAGTGTGTTTATTTATAGAATTTAATTTATTTAAAGCTCATTTATAACTTACAATTATAATAGCAAGGGTCGCAAAATTTGGAGCTTATGTGTATGAAGATGGCACGAAATATATTGGTGATTGGAATGATCGCGGTCAAAAACACGGATTAGGTCACGTCCAATTAAAAGACAACACACGTTATGAAGGAGGATTTAGCAATGGACTGTTTTCAGGTCTTGGAATCCTGCAATATCCTGATGGAGCTAGGTATATTTATTTTCTATCGATAAATATAGTGTATGATTCAGCCATGAACGATGTTATGAATATTAAAGTTTAATAATAATAATAATAATAACTTACTCTATATTGCAAATATTAAATTTAAACATGTTTCGATTCAAAACAGATACGAAGGAGAATTTATGGAAGGATGGTTTCACGGCAATGGCATGTTCTGGAGGGCTGATGGCATGAAATACGAAGGTCAATTTAGAGGTGGTCATATTTGGGGATTAGGTAATATAATATACACATGAAATACGTATTGAATTCTATGATTGGACTGAATAAGTTCAACTAGGGTTTAAATATATTTGTTATACCTATATAGGTAACGTACAAACTATATAAAAAAATAATAATAAACACTATGGTTTCTATACGTTCTTTAACAGGTTGACTGCCACGCTAAAACTACTAGGCAAAATACATTTTTAGAATCATTCGTTTAAGAAATGCTTGTAACAAAACCAACCATTAAACTAATTCAGTATACCTAGATAATCGAAAATAAATGTTGAATTATTTAAAATTCTGATAACCAGAGATGAGTAACAAGGGATATATTGCAAAATGCTAGTGCACAACAGCACTAATTCTAACTAAATTTTTTTTTGTGATGTTTTAGGTTTGATAACATTCAAGGATGGCACCCATGGACTTCCAAGACACGAAGGATTTTTTAAAGATTGTAAGATCGTGCAGAAGAAAAAATGTCCTGGAGTTGTTAATGATGCGCAACGAGCAGCATTAATGGCGAGAATACAAGCTGAACAAACATAATTTTATCTATGATTGATTTTTGTTTAAAATATTTTAAAAACTTATTACAATATTTATAACATCAAAATAAATATTTATTTGTACTGTTTCCCGAATAAAATAATAAAAGATAAATTTTTTTTCGATAAATTAAAGATTTTTAAGAATTCAATTATTATAAATTATGAATCATAACTATAGTACCAATAAATAAAAGTTAAATCTAGGTACTTCACAAATATTCAAATTGAGCGTAAATTGTGAATAGTTATTTTCTTTACTAAACTAAGATAAAATTCAGGAATACATTTCGAGCTATTCGCACAGAATAATTCTTCTAATACCTACATTTCTTGATTACAAAATCTTTAAAATTGACACAGCATCTTAAAATAATGTTTATTATATTTTATTAATTATTTAATCGTGTAATCGATTAAAAAATTGTTAATACATCTTTTTTAAGGCATACTTTTCATAATAATTACTATATTCAAATAAAACGTCAGCAGTTCTTTTTATATCTAATTAATCTGTATTCACTTAAAATACACATTAAAAGCATATAACTGAGATATAATTAGGTAAAACTGAGATAGAAGAAATTTAATTATTTAATTTGTAATTAATAGAGAATAATGCTGTAGTTATTATTCTGATATTTTGTTTAAATTGTAAATGCATGTGGTTAAAAAAATATTTAATCTATTAAATACAGTTTTAAATCGATTATTATATTATTTACGAAAATTGAGTTACTTTTATTGTACCTATAAATATTTAAATTAATTAAACAGATAAACTATATTATATTTATTACATCGGGTAGTTATGTAAATATTCGATCGTTTATTTTTAACCTAGTGCACTTGACCTTGCACTACCACAACTTGAGATGGTATTTATATTAATATACATAAATAAAATAATATAATGTAATTATAATTTTGAATAATAATACTTCAATTAGAATTATTACTATCAATAAATATTGATGAAAACAATGTAATCGAAAAACGATAATAAATCGATAAATTAATCATGCAAAAGTAAGATTTATATTAATTCAATATTTTCACATGCCAGATTGCGAAAGTATCATATTCTTAATATAAAAAAGTGTGATTTGTATTTATTTCATACTAAAATCAAATTTTAATCCCTAAACATTGCCAAAAAATAATCCAATGTTGATTATAAAATTAGTACGCAAATAAAGTGTTAACCTATATAACACCATTTTTTTATTTATCATTAGTTATTATGGTTTGATAACAATTTATTTTATAATTTAATTCTTTATTTAGTCTATGCAACGTACAAGCTTTCTGCATTACGTGAATAGTTTATTTAAGCTAAATTTTCAGGGAAAAAGTGTATTTAATCTACTGTTAACTGCAGTGGACTGATTTATTTTCAGAGTTTATTAGTATGTACCACTATAGATTTACAGTATATTAATTAGAAATTGAAATATTTAATTTTTTTATGAAAAGTATCAAGGATATGTTGTGCATTAAACTCTGTTAAAGTAATCAGATTTTCAAAGTTCCAAGAACTAAGCATCTTTCAAATATTGATAATATTTTTAACGAAATTATCTTCATATTTGTTGAAATATCTGTAATAAATTATCAAAGATAAATCAATTTAATCTTTGCCGGTTAATTATTATATTACGACATTTATTTTTGTATCCTCAAATTTTTTTTATTACTGAAGAATTATGTTAGCAAAATCAATAATCAAAATCTATCACTTTTAAATGTTAACATAATTTTTAAAATAATGAACATGGGTACCTGAAACATATAGTAGTATGTTTTAATACAAAATCTACGAATACATATACTATATGATATTTAAATTTAATTTTGTCATTAGATTAATATATTAAAATAGTTTCAGAACATTTTCTAATGTTATTTTATTATTAATTAAATGCTATTTTAGAAATTATTTAAATTAATATTTCAATTATTCAAACTATTATAATTTATCTTCTTTAGTTTTTTCATTTATGTTTATCTATCTATTGTATATAAATATTATTAATTAACTTTGCTAAAAATCTGAATGATTTTATGATTATTATTGTAAACGGTTTAAAGTATTTGCATTCGAAAAAAAATTGTTTAGTCGTAATTTTTTTTATATAATAAACTTAAATCAATAAATTACATTCACCTACTGCTGCGAGAACCTATGGCATACCAGTATAGATATATCTACGGTAGTTTTAAAAATACATATATTTACGATAGTACTCAAACATATTATTTATATAATATTATAATTGGAATAAATAATAAGGAAAATTATTGTATAAATGTATACACGCATTACAATTTTAACTTACGTAGTTAATAATCATATATATATATATATATACACACATTTATATGTGTTATTATAGGTAAATTGTTATTTTATATTTTATATCTACCTACTATTAATTATTCAAACTAACAGTGTAAAGTTGCCTTGGTAATGATTTAGAGACATAGATATAGATACGCCTACAGACTCCAATAATTTTATAATATAGCCTGTATATATGAAAATAGAAAGAGCATTTGAATAAGTTTATGTACGTATTTATATACACATCATAATACTTATGCAATTGAATTTGAATAAATATGATACATAACACGTTGTATTTTACACTAGAATAATAGATTTATTCAAATGTATTGACTGATATGCAAAAAATATACATATATATATATATATATATATATATATATATATATATATATATATTTTTATTTATCGTTCACGATATTATTGGAAATTCGTTGCTAAATAATAACTGTGAACAAATAGATAAACATTTCGTTAGGTAAATAAATAATTGATTCAAATTAATTGGCTCGAAATTGGATGTTTACTTTTGTTATCGTGTTTTTCTATAAGGTGGTTTTAATATGATAATCATTAAAATAATGTGTATTTTTTTTCGCAAATTATTTATCTTTGAATGCCTATAATTTCTATTCGAATCACATTGTTTATGCGATATCACGATTAATTAATAATAAATAAATGCATAACAATAATATTATAATGTGTCGCAATCACTAGCCTACTACTACACTGCATTATAATATGCATAGGCACAGTTGAATTATAAGTACACACACACATACATACATACATACCACACATGCATATATCCAATATCAAGGTCATCTTGACCCAGTCCTAACTAATCAGAAACAGCTGACTGTTTTTGATCACGTGCTTGCCGACGAACGATGAACCATTTTTTATGAATCGCGTTCTGCATCGTTGTGTCCCTTTTTATCTTTCACTCGGCCAAATTGTTAATCAACGCTATGAGTCGCGACTACAACGTGGACCAAATTTTACAATATGGATGTACACATGTTTTATATTTTTATATAAATTCACAAACAATGTGTTGCTGTTCTAAAAGACACGCGTTAACGTTAACTACCACGGAAATCTTGAATCTTCTTACATAACTGCATTCCAAATACACAGGCTTTTCATCTTTATATCCGTTTGTCTATAATTGTTAGCTGTTGCTTATTGAAATAAAATAATCCATACGCTGAAAGCAAAATTAGAATACACACGATAATATGTATTACAAGTACACGAGAATAAATCAAAAACAATTCACCGTGGCCGTTTCGCCGGGAGGACATTTAGCAGTGGCCATTAAATATTTTCGTCATATTCTTATGATAATTTTCAAAAATATAATAATAATTAATGGTTATATTATGGTTAAGTGGCTTATAGTATATTTCGTCGTATTCATAATAATAATAAAGGTAATTAATAATCATGGTAAGGAGATATTATATGATATACCTTTTAAATATGAAATTTAGTCTCTACCGTCATATTGTTGTACTATTTTTAAAATGCGTCTATCTAGATCGGCGATTTTTTTTACATTTTTTGGATGGACTTTTTCCTGCAGTTAAACTAGAATAAAAATAATCATGGCTAGATTGAACTTTTTTTAAACAATTAATGAAAGCCCAGATTGACAGATAGCATACTCCTATTTCAACATTAAGTCGTCTATTTGCAGTTTCCGCGTGGTTATTAGTACTATCTTGGGAATTTAAAACTCAACTATAAAGGCTCCAAATATCTGATGGAAAACGTCCATACACGTCTACCTCTACCATTTCTATTTATCCTCTCAAAACAGTTGTCTTTGAAAGCCATGGGAAATGTGTATACATTTTAAGAAAAGATAAGATAAATATGAAAAATCTAATAATATCAATAGTAATAAAACATATATTTCGGTTTATACACAATTTTTGGACAACGGCGAAATGTCTCTACGGCGAATTGTCCCATTTCGCACGAGAATATAATAGAATATTTATATACATATACATATATACGAATACTTTAGTTGCTGATTACCGTTGTGTAAAACGTTACAGTTGGTCGGATAAAAAATTTAAGATTCTCCCTACCCCTTCCCTCCCACACAACGAGTGCGTAGCGCATGCATCGACCAAGGTCAATTTGCACCAGGAAGTGAATGCAGTTGAAAATGCATTGCGAGGCAATTATATTGTAGAGGCTCTTCCCGCTTGTTCTCTGATCCATTCCGTGTATGGTTAGCCGGGTTTGAGGAGGGGGCGTGAACACAGGAAATCGTACGAAACAGAATATGCACAGAGCGCTCTGTGTGCGTATTGATAAAAATCGTTCTTGGTCAAGGACAAAAATGCATACAATTGAGTATAAATGGTGGTAGAAGGAGCAAGAGGGGCCTCTGCACACCAGAGGAAATATAATTGATTGTCATTTGCAATATTTTTATGAATACACACTTGCGTATTTTTTCATTGCGGTCGATAGAAAGATATTTCTTTTACACATCTATTTGTGTGATAAACTGATATCTATAATGTTATTTTTTATTTTAATTTTGTTACATAGCAAATCTTATGTCAATCCATGTAAAATAGATACAAATCATACTACCACTCTGATTAAGCGAGTTATAATTGGTAATGAAATGAATAATAAAAATAATAGTTATAAATGACAATATTATAGGTGATCTGTTC